CACGCTCTCCAGTCCCTGTGATCAGCGACACCCTCGATGACACCTGACGGCCCTCGCCCTCCCCCTCCCCCTTCAGTGTCTGCCGGGCTGGCGGACAACTTACTCTTCCCTGCGGCAGAGCACAGAGCATCTGCTCAGAACATGCTCAGATGAGCCTTGGTGCACCACAGAATCCGGCCAAGTTCATCTGGCTTCCCGCCACCCCCTTAACAGCCCACTTATTGTCTCATCCATTTCCTGGACTCCTCACAGTGGATCTTCAAAACTTGCCTCCCACTTTGCAGAAATTAAGTTATCAGCATAAACTTCACAGCTGCTTTTCTCTCCGGCTTTAAATAAATCTCCCCGACCTCGGCCCTGCCTTCTCTTCTTTCTACCTTCAGAGGTAGGTGACACCTTATTTCCCACGCTCTCTCCCTCCCATCCGCAGGGACCATGGTCCTTCCCGTCTCCTTGCTCTCCTGCACCTTCAGGCTCTCCTCTTTGCAGATGCCCATCCGTTTTCTTTCCTTACCTGCATCCATCGCTCCTTGAAAGAAACTTCACTTCATCCTACTGTTCTAAGTGCCATCCTGTTTCTCTCCTTGGCAGCTGCCCAAACTCTTTCCCTCTTCATTCACCACCACCGCCCCCCACCCCGGCTCCCACTCTGTCCTCCGGTCTTCTTGCCTCTGTCAGTCTTCTGAAGCGAATACCTTAGCTGCTACCCTGTTTCTCCTTGTTAATTCATTTCCAAGCACTGTTTCTGTATTAGTTACTTGCACCAAGCCCTGGACTCCACACTGGGGATGCACATGGAACCAGAACCCAGCTCGACCTGCCAGCACATTCACAGGCAGTAAATGTTCAGCTCTTTTCTCCTGTAATGTCCGAAGTTCTCCAGTAGTGGGCTTGCTTCTTAGCTCTCTGCTCCTATCCTCCCACCCCTAAACATCCTGCAGGTGTGCCTCTACTTACCTCCATGCTAGGTCTTCAGGCCTGTGTGGTGTGGTGCTGCCGGAGAGAGAGAGGCTGCTGGAGCTCACGCTCACCACCACCAAACACAGCACCACAAGGGGGCTTTTATCAGGTGCTTCTCAGGCTCCTGCTTTGCGCCCAGTGGGAGACACTGGGCCGAGGGCTTGGCGACACCTTGAAGAAGATGGACCAGGGCCCTGTTTGTAACAGAGCTTGCCTGTTGATGGCAGTGGAGGAGTGTATCGAGGGTTGGAGGGTAATAGTTTAAAAATCCCCCTTTAGAGATTCTGATATGCTCCACAGGGAGATGGGGGTATTCTCTGCTCCATTCTGTTCTTCTGGGACATGTGATTCCGGTAGAAAGGACAGTTGAGACCCACAGCCTGACAGCCAGCCTTGCCTCCCATTTTGCAGAGGCTGAGCCTAATAGTGTGAACTTCACAGCTTCTTTTATTAGCTTGTCTGTCAAGGTCCTGTCCCACCCTCACCGATCACTTCAGACAACTGTTGAACTTGAGCTCTTCCTGGGCTTTCGTGATTCGTGTTTCTGCTCATGTCCCCATCACAGTGCCAGCCCTCTAACCAAATCGTGCCCAGCCTTCAAGGCTGCTTCAACCTCCAGTGACCCTCTCCTTCAGATTCCTCTAGCATAGCAGTTCTCAAAGTGTTCTGTTGGCCCTCTTAGGGTGTCCCTGTTACACTTTTGGCAGTTTGTGAGGTCAAAAATATTTTCATAATGATCCTAAGACGTTATTGGCCTTTTCCTCTCATTCTTTCACAAGTGAACAGTGGAATGTTTCAGAGGATCCATAACCTGTCGTGAGGTCAGTGCTCTGATGACTAGTGGAAAGTATGCTTGTTTATTTTTGTATTTTCTAAAATGTTATTCAGGTTTAGGCTTAGGGTATAAATATGTTCAGTGTTCAGAGGCTGCCTCAATTCATTCTCAGTGCTTCTACTGTGCTCTTGCTAGCTGGCTTTGTTATACTTGCTGTAATTTATGCAACCTCATTATCATGGGATAAGCCATTTGATATCCTTAAGTTTTCCTATGTGGAAACTCAAGCAAGAGGTAGGTATACTTTGTTGGCTTATTTTACAATATAACTTAAAAATATCCTTCTAGATGGTTTATACATTTTAAACTTAATATAAAAATCACGATTTTAGAATTTAATAGTCTTTTATTCTAAAACTTAAAAATTTACTTATGTTTTTATTATATTAAGGATGGACGATTTGCTTTAAAAAAGCACATTAGAGAGTTTGCTTTCCTAGCCCACAGCTGCACTGTCTAAACCTAAAGATGCTGAAAAAGAGGAAACTGAAATCTGCTTAAGAAAAAAAAAAAAGCAGGAACATGAAAGAAAATCTTTCCCAAGATTTATCTCTTCCTCAGCTTTAGGATGTTAAAATCCTACCTTTCTGGTGCCTCTTAAGTTGTGGCACCATTTTGAGAATAATAATGTAGAGTTTAAAGAAAAGGGAACTGAGTATTTTAAATGTAGATGTGATGAGTTCATTAAAAGCCCCAAATTGATCATTACAGCCTTTCAAGCGAGAAATGCAAAAGCCATTGAAGTACAGCTCAGGGAAGTGACTGCACCCAACTGGCGGGAGACAGACACAGGAGCCCGTTTGGCTGACGCTGCTGAATGCCTGCTGGATGGAGAGTCAGCAAAACGAATCACAGCAGCACCACTTTCTAATGATACAGTAGCTTGTCATATTAAAGATTTAGCTGCAAACATGAAGGCTGAGTTAGTGTCTTCTCTGCAGTATTGTACTTTTGTCTCACACACGGACAAGTCAATAGAAGTGGCTAGACTCGCCGTCTTGCTTGTGCTCATCTGATATCAGCACCAGCTAATCTAAGAAATTCTTCTTTTTTAAAAAAAGATTTTTTTATTCATTTGAGAGAGAGAGAGAGAGAGAGAGAGAGTACACAGGCAGGGGGAGGGAGAAGGAGAAGCAGACTCTCCACTGAGCAGTGAGTACAATGCGGGGCTCAATCCCAAGATCCTAAGATCATGACCTGAGCGAAGGCAGATGCTTAACCAGCTGAGCCACCCAGGCGCCCTCCCTTGCCCCTCTGCTGCCCTACACCCCTGCACCGATCTTTTATGTGAATGCTTGGGGATAAACTGAAATGGCGCTGAAACATTCACAGCATTGAACTATTTTATTCACTCTCATGGTTGATCCTGGAGCAACTGTGTGGATGCCTGCACGGATGGTGCAGAAGGATGGTGGGGGCGTCAAAGCACCTTAGCACAGGTCAAAGAAGGAACACCAAAATGTCCCGGAAGCCATTGTATTTTTCACGGCCATGCGCTTGCAGTCAAATAATGGCCAGACTCACTTATCTTTGATGAAATCTTAAACATGATCACCTTTTCTTTATTAAGCCTTTCTTCGTGAGTCCACATCTTTTTAATATTCTGTGTGACAAAATGGGAAGTGGGCACAAAGCATAGTTGCTGCAAATCAAAGTCCAGGGTTGTCTTGGGGCAAAGAACTTCCATAACCAAGTGAAGTTCACTTGTGCCTTTTGCATGAAAAGCCGTGTTTATATTTGGCAGACACATTATTGAAAATGAGGCTGTCACTTCAAGGAAAATAACTGCAGTATTTGTTGCCAATGATAATATTTAAGCTTTCCAAAGGAAATCAGAATTTTGGGTAATTTATATCAACCTCCATGAGCTTGTCCACTTGCCAACTGATATAGCATTTACATACCATGAAGTTCACCCTTTTAGAGCATATAATTCGGTGGTTTTTATAGATTCACAAAATTATGCAACAAGTATCTAGTTCCAGGACATTTTCATCAGTCCAAAAGGATACCCCATTGGCAATGGCCACTAGCAGTCACTCTTCATTCCCCCTCTCCTCCCAGCCTCTGGCAACCACCAATATGCTTTGTCTTTATACATTTGTCTATTCCGGATGTTTCGTAGAAATGGAATCACACAAAGATCACATGATTTTTAACCACACTGTATGAAATATAAAAACATCTGGAAGATCTATAAGACTCAGTAGACCAATATTCTCCTAATGACTAAAGTGCTGTTACCAAATTATAATTGGGCGAAAGATCCATCCAAAGTGCAAGACAGATCAATGGCCTCTAAGTGAAGACTGTTCAAAGAGTTCACTGATACTATGTCATATTCCACATTGCAACAGACCTTTAAGAAATACAAGTGTGTTGAGTTTTGGCATGGTATAAAATAAAAAAAACCTACAACTCTCTGAAAAGACTATTAAAATACTCCTCCCCTTTCCAACTACATATTGGTATAAGGCTGAACTTTTTTTCTTGCATGTCAATCAAAACCACATATCACAGCACATTGAATGCAGAAGTGAAGATGAGAATCCAGCTCTCTTCTATGAAGTCAGATATTAAAGAAATTCACAAAAATGTAAAATAATGCCACTATTCATTTTTTAAAGATTTTATTTATTTATGGTTGAGAGAGACAGAGAGCACACAAGCTGGGGGACAGGGCAGAGGAAGAAGCAGACTCCCTGCTGAGCAGGGAGCCAGACATGGGACCCGACCCCAGGACCCTGAGATCATGACCTGAGCCAATGGCAGATGTTTAACTGACTAAGCCACCCAGGCGCCCTAGATGGGTCTTTAAAAAAAAAAAAAATAGTTGCATAAGTACCATATTTTATTTTATAGTTCCCCATTGATGGACATTTAACTTGTTTCTAGTTTTTTTAAATAACAAACAACAAATCTAAGAATCTTTGTTCATTTGTCTCTGTTCATATGTAGGGAAAAATTTTAGAAATGCAATTGCTGGATTAAAAAGTGTGTACATTTCAAATTTAATTGCTGAACTTAGCACTTCTAACAACCACCCTATGGGATCCTCTCCAGGTGGTTCTATGACCACATTTAGAGAAAAACTGTTCCAGCGGAAAGAACCACACAGATAAACATCAGTTATGTCTTAGGACTTTCCCCACTTAAAGCCAAGAAAATAGAGATTTTACACAAAAACACACTGACCATCTTTAAAGAGGACAAAATTTATTTCATTGTATGTAAATAAAAATGACTTAGATATGCGAGGGGAACACGATAAAGCACACGGGATAAATATACAATTAACCCTTAATAATATCGTCAAAGAACTGTAAAGAATAACATAGTTTAAACAGGAAGTATGCATATATTTGCTGTAATTCCTCAGAGCATTCTCTTTTATTCTGTTGTCAACATGAATACTGCAAGCAAGTTTTACTGTTTTTTGTAAAATAGGATCTTCTGATTCGGTAGAAATCACTATTCCATCAATGCAGAGTCAACGAACACCTGTATAAATTGCAGATCTAACTTCGGTATAACGAAAGCCAGGGAACTAGAAAAAAAAATTCCTGTTTAAGATGCACAGCCAGCAGCGTGAACATCAGAATGCATTGACTAGAGCACCATTGAAAATACTTCGTTTGGTGTTGTCTGAAAATGAAAGTCATGGAAGTCATGTAGTCAGTTTTAAAACACACATGTTTTCTCGGTCTCATTATCTGAGTTTACAGTAAATATATATAGAAAGACAGCATTGTTGCAGGATTTAAGAGTACCTTTATCAAAATAGACAGCTGGATTCTTAAACAGCAGCCAAAGCTGTAATGATAACAAATAGGTCATTGTGTTGAACCAAACAGAGGATGACATGCAATTTATTACCTATAACAATTTACAGGCGGTTCTCGAGTTATTAGAGGTAATATTGAGTGTGTACACTAATCATGCTTTTGTTTCTCTTTTCCATTAGCTGCCTTTTATTATTATTGGGATTTTCATGGTCCCTTTGATTATACAAACCTTTCCCACTAGACATGAGATCAGGAAATAATGGAGATGGAAGAAAAAGGAAGCTTGTCCCTGTAATTCCTTGTTAACAGCTCTAAAGCGTTCGGTGGAGGTTAAGTCTGAAACTGCTGGCTAAAACAAAGCTTGGGGTAACACTCTGTGATTCCAATTGTTAGGACTATTCTTGTCTCTAATTACCAAGGGTAATTGAGAATGGTCTGTGCTCACTTCAGATAAATTTGACCCAAGATGTTGGCAATGATATGAAAGGATCTGTGTGTATGTGATGCGCAAATTGTGAGTAGAAATTGAAATAGTTCTAAAATGTGTGTAAACAAGTAAGGCAGCCAGGAATTTCCAAATGATTCTGGGGAAGAACATTCTGCAGGCTGAAAACTGTTTGGCTTAGAAAAATAGAGATCTCAGATAAAGGAAGAACATCATCTGATGTCACAGATTACAGTTATGTTGTGTATGAAATGAGTCAAGAGACCAATTTCCAAAACCGTATTGAGCTCAGGTAAATGTATGGTCTATATGACAAGAGGCCTTGGAGAAGTGCTGTCAGTTACCACCTACTCCAACGTTAGGTGCACAGAGGTCTAGACCAAGGGCATTCCATTTCTGACCCTCACGACTTGATAGTCTCACATTTTGGATCAGTAACACACTTCAGATGATTTAACTGCCAATACACAACCAGCAGTTTCATCTCTGTTTTACTATGCAGGAGAAACTCAGAAAAAATTGTATAACCCCCGATTATGCTCATAAACGAAGAGGTTAATGATACAAATGAAAGTGCTTGAATCCTAGCCCTTGATTCAATGTTTGTGTGAAAAAATATGACTTTTTGCTAAGGAAATTATTATTATTTATCTAGATTTTGAATTAAGATTCAGTTTATAACTAATTAGTACTAAACTAGGATTGAGGACAGATGCTTTTCTTAGAGGAGGGTTGAAAAACTATACTCACTAGCTGCAGAATTCTTTCATAAAAATATAAACTATGTTTTTTTCATTGTACTAAATGTATCACCTGTGAAATTAGAGCCTGCCTTTGCTTTTCCCTAGTAGATCAACAGCTCCCTGTAATAAGCCTGAAGGCTAATCAAATTCTTGTGCTTGAAACCCATTTACCTGTAAGCTTTCCAGAAGCATTTAGAGAATTTATTTTCACTGTACAAAGAGTAGATGAGTTGACAAGACTTTATTCCTTGTCTTTGTTTCAGAAGCTGTTTCTAAAAACCTTAGTCCCAGTGGATGATGAGACAGAATAGATTTTGTAAGGGCTTTTCTACCAATTATTTAACAGGCCGTCCTGAAGGACGTTGTCATCTTTAAAATGTATGTCGTCTTTCATCCCTTCCGACATTGTTTCTCCCCAAACGGAAAGGCAGTGCTGCTTTCAAATGAAGTCCATGTCATTTACAAACGACAGTGCCGGCTACCAGACAAAGCGTTTCCCAACGATGTCATGGGCTCCTCACAGCAACCATGTGAGGTAGGCATGGGTCCCCCAAAGAAATCTTACAGGAAACAGAACATGACGCTACACATGTGCACCATCCATGTATTTTTTTCTGGATTGTTCTATCATTTGAATACACGGCTGAACAAGTAAAAAGAGTATCCCTACCATGTAAAGTAGACCACAAATATAGAAGGAAAAATCATATTTTTCTGTGATGTCATAGATCCAGCCTGCAAAACAAAAAGGAATATATTCAGTGTAACATAGTTGGTAAGAGTCAAGAACACAATTATTGCAACTGTAAATATTTCTATAGGAATTTATTTCTATGTCATGTCATCCCCCAAATATGTCAGTTTGCCATTTTTTAAGCCCAGGCTATATAAGCCAGAGTCTCGCAGTGCCTGAGAATGGCAGGCATTTATCTCCCAAGATGCTAGGGTACCTTACAAAGTGCTTAAGGTAGGGAAACAGGAGCTGGCCGACCCTTGGGAGGATCTGGTTGGCAGACTTCAGATTCTCTCAGGCTGGCACAAAGCCAGCAGGGAAAAGTGAACCTAATGATTTTCTTTTTTCACAAATGTAACCACAGATCTTTTCTAAAACCTTCAAAACTCATCTGAAGAAGTTTCTAGGGTATATCAAAAGAAGCTGAGTGGAAGACATTTGAAAATACATTCCCTGTGGAATACTTGAGAGTAAACATCAGTTCTAGAAAGAATAAAATTTTCCATGTTTTACAAAATTCACATTGACAGCTATGAAACTTTAATATTTCTATATACAAAGAACTTTACACTGTCAAGGGTAGAGCTTTCAGTGCTGACTGAATGATCAGTTTTTAATACTATAATCTAAAACTTTCATATAATAATCTTACTAGGCACTCTGGAAAAAACGATTATATTTCATGGGTTCTAAGATATCATGAACTGCATGATGCATCATTATCTTCTGTGGCAATAAGAAAGAGATGTCCTTGTCAATGAAAATATGACTCCATGTTTTCCCGGGACTTTGTAAAATGCATTCCAGTTTCAGAGATGTTAAAATGTGAAAGAAAAGCCTCAGAAACTATGAAATGTGATTAGGTTTCAGCGATTAAATCAAAGAATCAGTCACAGCTCAGGGTCCCCATGCAGCCAAACCATGTGAACTGAGAGGATTAAGCTATGCACAGGAATTTCATTTACAGTAAAAACGTAAATTTTGAACATTCACTTTTGTTCATATCAACAAGTATATTCATTAGCAAAGATACAAGGAAAATAGGAAGGATTTAAGGACCAAACGTCGCATTCCATGACCACTTTTCAAATAACGTCTTTTAAAAAATATCCAACTGGCAAACGAACGCATAAATGCAACTCAACCTTCCCCCAGCAGCAAATCGCTACAGGAAAGCCATTGCTTTTTGCTCTGACTTCCTAGCAATTGTGTGTCATCTTTGTTTATTGTGTCTTGTGCATAATTAATGCACCAGGGTGAGTCAAAGTAGTCATAAAGAAAACACTGGACAGCCTGAAACATTTATATATTGTAACCACTCAAATCTGTAGACTCCAGATCTCCTTTAAAAGTTAACCAACTTTTCTGAGTGTGTTGTTTGATACACACAAACGAAGAAAACACCGGACTCCTGAGATGTAACTTTAGTAAAAGTCTCTATCAGTTTTTCCCACTCTCCAATTTGAGACAAGAACAAGGGAGATGAGCCATCTAATCCAAAAAGCAAAGACCCTGGCTTCAGAACTGAATGGGAAAGGCGCTGCGACACTGACATCTGAACAGGAACACACCTAGCTTGGGTCAGAGGCACCATGTGACCATTGCGCTCTGCTGTGAATTACCAAGACGAGGCTGTCCGTGTGGAGATAATGCAGCAAGGTCGTGTCTACAAGCAGAGTGTGGGGCGGGATTATCTAGAAGCTACCATTAAAAACAATCAGTAAATACAAATGAGGTTCTCATACTCCACTCATCCCCTATGAAAGCCAATCTTGTCACTGCAACAGTTAAAACTGTTTTTTTTTTTTTTTAAGATTTTATTTATTTCAGAGAGAGAGCCAAGCGAGAGGGAGAGACCACAGGAGTAGGGATGGAGGACAGAGGGAGAGGGAGAAGCAGACTCCCTGCTTAGCTTGATCCCAGAACCCTGGGATCATGACCTGAGCCAAACGCAGACACTTAACTGGCTGAGCCACCCAGGTGCCCGGAATCTGTGCTTTTCTTATGATCGAGTGACAGAATAAACGATCCTATAAATCACAAACACTGACAGCTGGAATGAGCAGAACTATCCTTGCTGCTGAACACGGATCCCAGAAATAGGACAAAGTCTTACCTGATTGGAAAATTAATTTGTACTTAGTTCAGTGTTTATTGACTTTTTTGAAGTGGTTGAATATAAGCTCTGGGGGTCTGTGAAGTGGCCCTTACCTCTTTCCCCTGAAGCCCCCAGCTTAACCATGAGCACAAGTCGCAAGATTTTAGAGTTTCAAACACGTTTTCTCTTGGCTCCTTGTCTGTACATACACAGTTCCCCCTTATGTAAAAACACCATCACTCTTAGCACAACCTAACATGCCCTTCCCTCCACTCCATCTTCCCTCTTGTCTCTGCAGACTTTGGAACACCCTAAGTATATTATACTTTGTTACAGCTGTTAACTGAGTTCATTATATTTTAAAATATTTTCTTTCCTCTAAATGTATAAATGTTTGGAAAAGGGTGTCTTAGTAACTCATGTGTCCTTTTTTCAAAAAATGCCCCAACTTGACCAAACAATTTCATAGTAAAGGATGTGTGTGGGGGGGAGTAATCCTAAATTTTATGTTAAATTAACACCATAGGTTTCTCTAGTCTACCTTTCAGATTTATTTATTTATTTATTTATTTATTTATTTATTTTTAAAGATTTTATTTATTTATTTGACAGACAGAGATCACAAGTAGGCAGAGAAGCAGGCAGAGAGAGAGGAAGGGAAGCAGGCTCCCTGCTGAGCAGAGAGCCCGATGCAGGGTTCAATCCCAGGACCCTGGGATCATGACCTGAGCCAAAGGCAGAGGCTTTAACCCACTGAGCTACCCAGGCGTCCCTCAGATTTATTTTTAAAAGACTCTGGATCCTGCCCTTTTTCTTTGGTGCCCATTTTAACATTTCTGCCAGTTTGAATTGATTCCATTCCTGGGTCAGAGGTAAAGCGGGTCAGGAGAGACAGGACTTCACTCCGTGCTTTGATCCTCAGCACGCATGGATATAAGTCTTCAGAGAAACGATGTTTCTGACAAGCTGCCCACCTCATTCATCCTTCACCACTTCTCCCTACAGATCTGATTTTGGCTCCTTGGTTCAGAGCCTGGCATCCTTGGCAAGCCCGATCCAACCATCAATTTAAATCAACAGCTTCCAAGAAAAATCTGGTTCCCTATTACATTGCATTTACTTTTCCTTTGAGTCTGTCAAATGAGGAATGATGGCTGTTTTTCTTATTTATTAAATAGGTCTTCCCAGCCTTTGATGGAAAACACTGCAAATTTTTGCTAGGCTGTTACATTTTAGGCAAAGAGAGGAGGTATGGGCAGATTCTTAGTCAAATCCGGTGGCCACGTTTTGCTATATTTTACACTGGAAACATCTAGAAAAGTAGGCACTATTATTACATCTTTACAGGAGAGGAACTGAATGCCCAACAATATTATAAATGAATTAGATCAAGAAGTTCATGTTGCTAAATGACACAGCTGCAATGTCTGTTTCACTATCTGATTGTATATTCTTCGCCTAAATGGAACTCTGTGATTGTCTAACACGCTGGTAAATGGTGCCAGATTTCTTAATGCCAGTAGAAGCCACTTTGAAAAATGGAAAACACATTCATTTCTGAACCCATTAGAAAAGAAAAAGGTAATGTGAACAATAATTTTCCCTGTAGCAAACACTGCAAGTAATAATTCCTAGCCCATTTTGAATTTCTAGCAAGAATGTGATGTGGTAATTTGGTCTCTCGTACTGTAAGTCACTTCTGAACTATAAGGCGTAAAAGGCGGGCCTCGTCTCATGGCAACATTGGCTCCTTGGTCTGGAAAGTCAATGAATTAAATGCAACGCAGTCAGGCAATGATGCTCTTGAGCATTCTTCTAGCTCATGACTTCAGTGCAAGGAGGAGAAAGACACAAAGGAGAGTCCTCTGAGGTTGCTGGCTTAAAGACACATAACACAACACTGATCTTCAAGTCCTCATGGCAGCCTCTGACACTCATTCATAGACGGTTCCTCACCATTAATACAATGGTTTCTACCCTCCACGGTGGATGACATTCAGCTCCAGATCCACTTCTAGGGAGGAACACTAAGCAGGCAGGGGTAACGCCTGATGACGGGGGATTTGGCGATAACTCCCTGCTTCTTATTCTTTTTTTTTTTTTTTAAAGATTTTATTTATTTGACAGAGAGAGATCGCAAGTAGGCAGAGAGGCATGCAGAGATGGGGGAAGCAGGCTCGCTGCTGAGCAGGGAGGCCGATGCGGGGCTCTATCCCAGGACCCTGGGATCATGACCTGAGCTGAAGGCAGAGGATTTAACCCACTGAGCCACCCAGGCGCCCCCCTGCTTCTTATTCTAATTCCCTTCTTTTCCACTCCAAAAAGTGCACTGAAATGCTATTCAGTGAGAAGGACGTGACATGGGAATGAGATAAGGAAGCCATACTGGCCAACTTTGGTACTTTAATGAACATGTATCTTGAATTGCTTAAGCCGCACCTCACAGCTGTGTTGTGATGTTGCTACTGAAATCTGGTAGATCAGTGTAAAAATAACCCCAGACGTACCGTTAGAAGCAGAAAGTACGCCTGGATCATGAAAAGAACCATCGGTGACAGATTCCATTCCCACAGACAATATAGCTTAAGAAGAGAGTAGATGAGCCACTGGTAATGTCTGCATCCCCTTAATGGATATTTCAGTTTAACATCTCTGGAAGGTACCATTGGTTGCCTGACCAACCCCCAATCTCCATTCTTTTCTCTTTTCTTCCCTTTAGTACAGAGGCTAGGAAGCTAAATGCAGTTCCCCTTGAAGCTTGGACTAGCTGTGTGATGCAGTTCTAGCCAATCAGATGAAAATGGAAGTCGGCTGCAACTGAGCCTTTCTTCCCATTCTCCTCTTTGGTATAAATTAAGATGTAGGGGCTGGAGCTTTAGCAGCCATTGTGTGGCCATGAGGCAACTAGCATGAGGAAAAGGCCAGGAAGGTCTTGGAGACACTGTCCCAATACCATCCAGTATCTCTGAATATAGATCTCAGATTATGTGACACAATTAAATCTCTGTTTAAGCTACCATTGGTGGGGTGTTGTCCTATAGCCAAATGTATCCCTGAGAGAAAATTCTACACGCAATCACTGAACAAGTTCTGACCTTACAGCTGCCAATATAGTTTGCTGCACAGCTATAGTTATTCACTCTCATCTAGAAATTCTGAGCCTACGTCTCTGTGCACAGGGAGAGAACAGGAGCAGCTTAGCCCAGGAGGGGCCCCCATAGGCGGCCACTGGATTTCCTAAAATGCACCTTGGTTCTTAAGCCTTTAGTCAACCAGCTGTCAAACTGTCAGCTGTATAGACAAAAAACCATGATGTCTTGAACATCAAATTCTGCGGGGCACTTCAAAGTAAATGTGTTGAAACAAGCCTTCTGCCAGTGGGGTCTTCGGATGGGAGATGACTCTATGATCCCTCGAGAGACCGGAAAGGAAGGGGCGGGGAAGGCTTTGTCCTGCACCCATGGGGTTCCCTGGAAGAGATATTCCTGCAAAGGATATGAGAATGAAGGGCCAGGAGGGGCCAGATGGGCAGGGAGTATGGGCATTTGAACATGTCAGGCTCTGCCGAGTCAGCTTACAACACTGCACAAAACCTCCAGCAGCCTCCATAAACTCTTTATCAATGAAAGAAGGAGGCGGAGAATCAAAACGGCCACTGGTCCTGGCTGGGCAGCCTGGAGGGACACCTTGGGACAGCACTTTTGCATGGCTCCAGCCCCAGCCACACTATGTGAACTCCTGCCTCCAATCTTTGACAGAGGGGGGGACCTTGTCACCTTTGCTCAGTACCTGGCCTCTTGGGGATTAAGCCTACCTGCTGATCCTGTGTTCTTTCCACAAACCCCAGGTTCAGAGATGTCCTAGCTGCTGCAGGACCCCTGGGTGCTTGGGATTGCTGGTACGCCCATTGCAAGAATCAGGTTCTCCACCGAACTGAGGTGAACACTTCTGAGAGAGCTTGTCCCGGCTGTGGTCACCTGGCAGGCTCTGGGCCTTTGGTGGGCAGAATGCCCCAACACTCCCAAGCTGCTCATGTCTTAATCCCCGAAACCTGTGAAGGTTACGTTAGGTGGCCAAAGAGACTCTGCAGATATGATGTGATGGGGGTTATCACGGTTGTCCTGCAGACCCAGTGTAACCCGGGCGTCTTTATCAATGAAAGAAGGAGGCAGAGAATCAAAATCAGAGAGAGGTCTGTGACCACTGCTGCATCACCGGCTTAGAAGAGGCTGGAAGAACCTAGGAACCCCAGATGCAGGCAGTCTCTAGAAGCTGAAAAGGAAAAAAAAAAAAAAAGAAAGAAAGAAAGAAAGGAAGGAAGGAAGGAAGAAAGAAAGGAAAGAAAGAAAGAAAGGAAAGAAATCCTTCATAGAGCCTCCAGAAAGAACGCAGTTCTGTGGACACCTTGATTTTAGCTCATTGTGATCTAGCTTAGCCTCCTAACCCCTAGAACTATAAGATTATAAATGTGTATTGTTTTAAGCCGCTAAGTTTGTGGCAATGATGATAGCAGAGGCAAGAAACTCCTATGGGGCTAGATCCAGCTCATAGATGTGTTGTGTGGGACCCACACACAGTGTTTTAAAGATCTGGAACTGTCATGGTTCTCATGGTGAGCAATTCATTATGCACATGATTGTTGAACCCCTATGTTGTACACCTGAAACTAATGTAATGTATGTCAACTATATAAATTAAATTAAATTTAAAAAATCTGGAAATGGTCACGGAAGAGCCCAGAGTTCCTAGTTTTTCTTGGTGGGGGGGAGCTAACAATAGAGGATTTGGTAATAATTTTCCGTGTTTCTTAGTGACAGAAATCAGCTAGAGTTGGGTAGAAGCTGCCTCTTCCCGACTGGGGCAGGGGTTCTGCACCATTCCACTGTCCACTTTACCAGCCTGGCCAACTTCCCTTGGAGATAGAGACCAAACGTTCCTGTACATTCTGCTTGAAAGAATGACCATTACCTTGCTAACATTTACAAATGAGAAGTTGGGGGACTGGAATGGGAACAAAAAGGAGCATATACACAAATGGGAACTTCTTATTTATCTTGGACTTCAAAATACGAATGAGAACGCAACCTCGCTCTCCACGGGTACTCTAAGCTCTTAAAACCTTGTGTGGTTTACCTGCGAAAGGTGGTCCCAGCAGCGCCGAGATGCCATTGGCACAGATGATGATGCCGTAGGCGTTCGCCAGGTGCTCAATCCCCACCAAGTCTTCAGTCACTACCGGCATGAGGGAAAAATAACCGCTGGAAAAGCCTATCAGCGCGCAGATGACGGCCAGGCCAGCGTACGTGTGCATCAGGGGCAGAATAAAAATACTGAGCACAAGGGTGAAGTTGGCCATCAGGAAGACATTCCAAACACTGATGCAAGGTAAGTCGGCTACAATGCCCAGGATCACTTTTGCAAAGATATGCACTATTGCTATAATTGAAGTCAGAGGGAAAACATCATTTTGCTCCGATAAATTATACAAATTGACGATTTCCGGGAGGTGGATGAAAGGGATGACGAAGCTGCTGTAGGCAAACAGAGCCCAGAAAATAAAGGCGACGAACATTCGATTGGTAAAGAGCGAGGCCGCCCCAAAGTAGCCGGAGTACCAGTCCCGGAAGCCCTTCCGGACTCTCACGGTCAGCTGGCTGGCGGTCTTCAGAACCCCGAAGGCGCAGGTGGTCTGTCTGTGCCCCGCCTTCTCCTGGCTCGCCCGGGCCGGGGCGTCAGCGCTGGTCTCCTCGTTCCCGGGCCCGCCACCCTTCTCTCCCGCTCCGCCCAGCGGCCCACTGGACCTAGATCCAGGGGAGTGAGCCAGCACGACCCGCGGATCTTTCCCTCCCGGGTCATTCGGGTCTTTCCCCGGAGAGAGGGGCCTCATGAGCGCCCCGCAGACACACAAGTTTAAGGACACGGCGCCTTGGATGAACATGGCATTGCGCCATCCGTACTCCGCGCACAGGTACTTGAGCAAAACCGTCATGAGGAAGGTGCCGAACCCCGTCCCCGTGGTGCTGAGGCCCTGGGCGAGGGCGCGTCTCTTCTGGAAGTACCTCCCCACCATGACCACCGCCGGCAGGTAGGCCATCCCGCTTCCAAAGCCTGCGCGGTTTGGATTGGAAGAAAAAGCAAACAGCACAACATTAAATGGCCATATCCGGCATTTGCAGCATGTGGAGGTCATCTGCCATTTATTACATTCGTCCCTATGCTTGCTTGCTTGCTTGCTTTCTTTCTTTCTTTTAATTACACAGAGAAATAATATTGGTAAAAAAGCAGCCTTGTGGGTAAGCACAGTTAGGGTCATTCACGGAAGCTTCCAGCCCATCATCTCCCTCCAGCATGGGCTCCTCCAATAATAAAATAAGCCAGCATCCTCACATCAGAATATCAGAATGAATGAACAGATGAGAAGGTAGATGAATGGAAGAATGAACGGATGTTGGGACCCTGCTGTCCGTGCTAATTGCCTTAACTGCCCAGGAAAGTATTTTTGTACCAGCGGATGGAGAGGAATTCCGGACAATTTGCAGAAGCCTCAGGAATGGGTTCATTTGTTCACAAATTAATAGGAAGAATAAAAGTAAGGTACCTATAAATATACCCAGTGACTGGATGTCAGAACCACCTAATGCTAATTGGCAGCTCTGATTTTCACTTGTATCTTTCTTAGAAAATTGGAACAGTTTGTAATGTCCGTTGACAAAATTAAAAGGCTGGTGGGGGAGACTGTGTGCGTTGGGGGCAGGGGACATAACAAAACTCTGTACTTTTTGCTCAATTTTGCTGTGAACCTAAAACTGCTCTAAAAAAAATGAAACCTATTTTAAAAAATGAAATGAAATAAAATAATATAAAATGCTGGCCAAGAGGTTGTGGGTTGCATTCTCAACTTCTAGGTACAGACAGAGGTAAACCCTGAGACCCACTTCAGTGATCATGCGGCCATATGGTTCTAATTCTTAAGACTTCCTGACAACAGAACGGCAGCATGAGAGTACAAAAGAGACTTTGACCAATCTTGTTTCCCAGAGCCGAAGCCTCCTTAGTTCATTATCATTGAATAGTTTCAGAAATACTTGATTTTTAAAAAAGACCAGAACCATCGTATATACAATTATAAAAGTCATTACCATTAATTGAGGACCAATGTTGGGCTACTTGCTTCATAGGTTTTATGTATTTGGGTATTCACAATAACCCGGGAGTTAGCTGTGGTTCTACTTTTTTTTTTTTTTAAGTTTTATTTATTTAAGTAATCTCTACACCCAACGTGGGGCTTGAACTCACAAACCACAGATCAAGAGTTGCATGCTTTTCAGACTGAGCCAGCCAGGCATCCCTATGCCCTTCTTTTGAACCTCATGAGGAGTTAAGTTATTTTCCCAAGACCCTGCTGCAGGAAACTGGAGAATCCTGGGTGGAATTCAGACCCCACTGCCCAGCCTGTTCCTTTTCCGCTGCTCACTGCCTTCCCCACTAAACAGCTCATAAGCCCTCCCCCCACCTCAGGCCCGTAGGATTTTGAAGAAGGATTTTGCTTCAGCCCGAATTTCTAAAAGAAACCTCCAGAAGCAACCCACCTCCTTTATTTACCTGAAAGCAGTGATATTTACAGCAACTGTCAGAAGTCAATGATCCTCAACCAGTCGTGAGGGTGGATACCCTTGTTTTGAGAACAATTAAGCTTCTAAGTGATTTCTAGCAGAGGTGGGGTCAGGTCCCTAAGCCCCTTTGCAAACCTCAGTGAGGGTAATAATACTTGCATTATGGGAGAAATAAGCATGAAGAAAACAGCTATTGGTAATTTTGAACTGAACTCTGGATTAATTTTTATGATGTTGATGTCCACAAAAAAACAGAATTTCTCATTTCTAATATCTAAAGAGGCAGAGAAAAGTATTTACTAGCCCATAAACATACTCTTTCCTCCAATTGTAAAGCAAATTTCATGTACATCATTTCAAGTGCAAATATTTTAGTATAAATCTCTAATAGAAGAATTTTTTAACCAGCATAATCATTATATCTTAACTGATAAAATGAACAATTCCTTGATATCATGAAATATCTAGAAGGTGTTCACATTTCGAAATGTCTCATAAATGACTATATTTTTAAAAAACCCGTCTCTTTAATCATGATCCAAATAAGGCCCACCCAGTTGCCCCTATTGAATCTTAATCCTCTTTAAATTTTTTTTTCTTGAAATTTAACTCTCTTTTTTCTTGAAATTTGTTGACGAAACTGGGTCATTTGTCTGTGAAGTTTGTCATCTGGATTTTGCTGAGAGCACAAGATAAGTTTAATTTTTAAAAAATCTTGCTTTGTTACTGACAATAACCAACATTCTAAATTTAATGTGGTTATGGATTTCTAAACAACAGCAGAATAAAAAGATTAATAGGAAGAGAACTGAGGTACCCAAACCTAAAAGCAGCACTCATTCTAACTTAGTGTGAATAATGGATGGTCCCATGTGTGAGGAAAAAAGAAATCCATGCCCGATGTTATAAGTATCTATTTCCCTGTTACACTATTCATGCCCTTTACAGAATCCCCTTCCTCATGTGGTTTATACTGTCTGTTATGGGCACAATTATTCATGAGCTTGGGGATATGTTTTTGTTTTTTTTTTTAAGATTTTATTTATTTATTTGAGAGAGAGACAGTGAGAGAGAGCATGAGCGAGGAGAAGGTCAGAGAGAGAAGCAGACTCCCCACGGAGCCGGGAGCCCGATGCAGGACTCGATCCAGGGACTCCAGGATCATGACCTGAGCAGTCGTCCAACCAACTGAGCAGTCGTCCAACCAACTGAGCCACCCAGGTGTCCCAGGGGATATGGGTTTTAGCCAAGTGGTTAGTCAAGGACCCATTAATGTCTAGCCCTGGGCAGGGTCCTAGAACAATTCTTCACCATAGCCCTCCCAGTCAAGTAGAGGAAAGAGGTCCAGATGGGGAGAGAAAAAAAAATCCTGTGATCTTGGGTCAGTGTGGATGGCAGAAAAGATGTCTTCAGGAGACAGTCTTAAGAAAATGGAGCTCTGCTAAGGCTGAAGAAATTCAGTCCAGACTTCCTTGGCTAACTAAGTTTGCTCAAACAGACATTCTTTTCCTGCTTAATAGAAGGATACTCTTACACAGTTTTAATTGTCTAGGTGTTAAAAAAAAAGAGAGAGAGAGAGAGAGAGAGATACAAACAAAACTGTCTCAAATGCTTTTTGGAAGGAAGAAGGATATCAATAAAGTTTTTTTTTTTTCCTAAATGCAAATTTTACAGTGAAATATATCTCTTAAGCACTTGCTTTTTTAAGATCTTCCCATCTTTCTTTTCTGTTAAATAGGGGCTAGATTGCCAATCAGTTTCCACATGCCTCCCTAATGACAGCCTAGGATTTTGTCTGTATAAGCTAACTGATTTAGCTGGATTTTCCAGTTACATATAGTTAGATATATGTTTGTGTGGGAGGTGGATACATTTATTTTCCGAGAATTTCTTTGGGTTTTTGTGTATAAAAAGTGGGAAGCAATAGACTGTTTCAAGACACACTTTCCTTTCACCAGCCCTCTGATTTTTCTCCTACGTTCTTGGGTCCAGAAATATTTGTTAAATATATAAGTGAATGAATATGGAAACAATAAAATGGGACACCTAGGTGGCTCAGTCGGTTAAGCATCTGCCTTCTGCTCAGGTCATGATCCCGGGGTCCTGGGATCGAGACCCACATTGGGCTCCCTGCTCAGCGGGGAGCCTGCTTCTCCCTCTGCCTCTGCCTGCTGCTACCCCCACTTGTGCTCTCTTTCTCTCTGACAAATAAATAAATAAAATCTTAAGAAAAAAGAATAAAAAAGTAATATGGAAACAATATTCTTTTTAAAAAATTTAATTTAAAAAATTTAAAAAAATTAAAAAAAGAATATGGAAACAATATTAATTGCAGGTCAATAAACAACTGCAAGAAATAAAGTTCATGTAAACAAAGACGCTAATCATAGGAATGTCTAAATGATGAGACTTAATCTCAAGTCCCAGTTTGTAGGATCAAGTCAATCTGTATAATCAACCACTACCACATCCCGTTCACGGGGTGCCAGGGGTCTGTGCAGGGACCCCAGTGTGGCTCCATAGGCTCAGCAGGAGTGTTCATTTCCTCACCTTTAGTATGAAAACCCCTGTGTGGACTCTACGCATTGGAGTGCTTGGGGGAAAGTTTCTAAAACACTCACGGGAAACATCTTAAATTACTCTTGAAGATCTGTTACCAAGTCCTTCAGATCAATGGTTTCCAAACTATGCTTCAAAGGACAAAGAAGAGCTTTATGTGTAGATGTGGATCGGTGTAAATTACGGAGAACCAACTTGCCAACTTTTTGGTGAGCCGGTGTGTTCACGTCTCCTGCTATCATAAAGCATGCCCTTAAGCTCATTATAAGAATGTTACATTCTATATGACAATTGCATATTAGCTAACACTAACTGAGAACTCTATTTTGTGACAAGCATCATGCTAAGTGCTTTATACAGATGATCTTCTAATCATTTCAACAACCCTGTAAACCAAGCACTCTTAATGATCCCATTTTGCAGATAAGTAAACTGAGGTATGAGTAGGTTAAGTAATTTGCCCAAAGTCACCAGATAATAAGTGGTGGGGGGGGAGCAAGGTTTCCAAATTCTAACTTTTACCTCTTATACCAACACTTCTGCCAATGTGTCATTATTAGGATGGTAGCTCTGTACTCAAAAAGAAAGTCAGGCTGGATCTGGTTCACGGCAATCCAATTGTACAAGTAAGAAACTGCTTCTTATCTATGTGAATCCTGCTACCTGTTGATAAAGGGAATTATAGCTGGGAATGTATTTTGCAGAATGGATTTGTAAACCATGCTGCCTCGTAGCCAGTGACCTAGATTTGCTTTCTAAGAGCCTACATATATGTGAATTTTGCTGCTATTTCATTCATTTGAATAGGGCTGAAGGAGAAAATAATTATTCTATGATTCATGCTCCATTCTGTAGTTATTAAATGAGAGAATGTTATTAGTTTTTTTAATATTCAGTCCATTCATCTACGTCTGTATTATTACTTTCCTTTTCCTATTCCTCATAAGAGAGAAGACAAGCACTTGGAACAAATCATAAAAAATTTAATTAAATTCTAATAGGAAGGACAAGTATATTTGTTAGGTTGTTTTTCCACATGGAAGGCATATTTAATATCTTATGTTAAAAAGTATTTCCTGGAGTATACGGGGTGGTGGGGTGGAAGAAAAGAAGGACAAAATATGGGGTGCCTGGGTGGCTCAGTGGGTTAAGTGTCTGCCTTCCGCTCAGGTCATGATCCCAGGTTCCTGGGATGGGGCCGCACCACCAGGCTCCCTGCTCAGCAGGGAGTCTTCTTCTCCCTGTCCCTCTCTACCCTCCCGCCCCCTTGTGCTCTCTTGCACATTCTCCCAAATAAATACCATCTTAAAAGAAAAAAAGGACAAACTATTTTAATGGCTTTCTTTCCACCACAATTATTCATTGTCAAAATGCCCAACAAATATATTTAAAATTAAGGCTAAAAAAATCAATATGCTTACCAGCTGTCACTCCAAAGGTAATAAAGAGATAATGCACGTTTTCGGCGTAGGCGCTCAGTACCCAGCCCAGCGAGTTCACCAGCCCTCCGATTATTGCGGTCCGGCGACACCCACAAGTGTTAATAAACAAGCCGATGAAAGGTCCTGTCATGGGACATTGGAAAGGGAATTGACTGATGGTGTTTTATTTTCATGCTTTCCTCTAAAATCTGCACGTGAAGACAAGAATAAAACATTAGTAGGGCTATTAAATAAAGTGAACCCAAACCCCCATTGCGTTATATACAAATAGCTTTTAGCATGCAAAGATGGGTTTCAGTAATTTCGCTGGAGAGCACAAGGTTCTAGGTTTTCAAGAAAGGCAGACCTGAAATAAACAGACAAATGAGTTAGTTCGTTCTCTTGTCTATAGCACAGGTAGGTCTGAAAACTAGTGGTCTATGGGCTTATTCAGCCTGTGGATGTATTTTGTTTATCCAGAACATAGTTTAAAAGATGTTTTGGGGCACCTGGGTGGCTCGGTTGGTTGGGCGTCTGCCATCAGCTCAGGTCATGATCCTGGGGTCTTGGGATCTAGCCCCATGTTGGGCTCCCTGCTCAGCGGGGAACCTATTTCTCTCTCTCCCTCTGCCTGCCACTCCCCACCACTCCTGCTCTCACTCTCTCTTTCTGAAGTAAGTAAATAAAATCTTTAAAAGATGTTTTGAATCAGTTGCCAGCATTTAAAAATTAAGAGCATTCCCAAGAAATCCAATGGCAACACAGAATCCCGCAGTTTCCCACACAGCCAAGATGGGCTGGAGCAGTGCCATCGCTTTCCGACTCCCTATGCCCACACTCTTAGTTTGCTGTAGTCATCACCCCTCCCTTTGGTCCCGTACTTGGCCTCTTGCCCTCACTTACATTACTAGTTATTTGAGTTTTTGACTCCAGACCTAGGGGGGAGTACAGCAAGGGGGCTCTCAGGACTCCCATGCTTTCAGCAAAGAACTGATAGCTTATTTCCATGAGGACACCTGGATGCAAACCGTGTTGCAAAGAACTTCTCATTGCTTCATACTGTACTTCAGCCCCTGCTGAATCTCAGTCCCAGGCCGGCCCCATCAGGCTATGGATTTTTATGACAGTGTGGGGAGACTCAGAAATACACCTCGGTCCACAGACTGTGCCGGGCTCACAGCAGTATAGTATTGTATGACGTTATGTCCTGGCTGCTTACTTGCTTATGACACTCTGGTTTTTGTCAACCTCTTTGTTTTCTTCCTGATAGTCATTCATTCATTCATTCATTCATTCATTTTTATTACTAGGCTCTATGCCCAGCATGGAGCCCAGTGCGGGATTTGAACACCCCACCCTGAGATCAAAACCTGAGCTGAGATCAGGAGCCAGACGCTGAACCGGCTGAGCCACCCTGGCGATCCTGTGGTAACTTCTGATGTCACAGAAGCTTAATGCTTGCGTTGGGATCCATGATTCCCTGTGCAAAAAGCAATCTATATTTTAGCAATAAAATGGGAGGCTGTAGTCAATATTCAGTAAGAGGGTACATTTAAAAAATCATCTTATTTTTGATCATTATTACTTTTCATAGTTATGAAACCCTATATTCTGGTGGGAGTATTTCAGGTTAAAAGTTTGTTAAACTCTAAGGAGCTTCCCCTTTTAGTTCAAACTGAAATAAAATCTTCCTTTAAAGTTCTACCTATATGCATGTACATATTTGGATGCACAGTTTGCTAATGAATTTTTTTTCTTGAGCAAGCCTAATCTTAAAAATTATGAAGGTAATGATTTATTAATTTAATGAACCCTGGTGCATTAGAAAATAACTTAGCAGGTAAACCTCTTAAAATAGACAGTATAGTAAATATATTTTACATAAATATACTGTTATATATTATAAAATGAGCATACTATATAAATAATATATAAACCAAACACATTGATATAAACATCGGAGGGAATTATTGGGGGCAACTGAAATTCAGAAACCATAAGTTGAAAGTGTGTCTTTGATTTCTTCACAAATACTTTTTAATTTCTTATTTATTTTTTTAGAAGATTTTATTTATTTGACAGAGAGTGAGAGCACAAGTAGGCAGAGTGGCAGGCAGAGGGAAAGGGAAAAGCAGGTTTCCTTGCTGAGCAGGGAGCCAGATGCGGGGCTTGAGCCCAGGACCCTGAGATCATGACCTGAGCCAAAGGCAGCCACTTAACCAACTGAGCCACCCAGGTGCCCCCATAAATATTTTTTAAAAAATATTTTTATTTGAGAGAGAGCGAGAGAGCGCGAGAGCATGTGCCTGGGTGGGGGGAGGGGCAGAGGGAGAGAATCTCAAGCAGATGAGTGTGGAGCCCCAGACGGGGTTCGATCCCACAACCCTGACATAATGACCTGAGCCCAAAATCAAAAGTCAGATGCTTAACCAACTGAGCCACCCAGGCGCCCCACAAAGATTTTTATTTTCCTAAACCCACAGTCACTTCACTATTGGAATCTCTGATGAGTGGATAAAAAAGAGAAAAAGGCACGACTCATCATTTGGCTGTTAATCGACCATTTAAGCGATGACAGTTCACCAGATCGCAGTTCAGGAACATGATCATGTTTTCCATGTTATAGAAAGGGCCCAGAAGCAAGTTTTTCTGTGATACTGCACGTTTCTGAAACACTGCATTAAGAAAGCATGTGGGGAAAAAGGAGGGAGGTGGAATTCCCCCAAGTATGAGCAGATACTCCTGTCTGGAGAAATGTTGTATATCAAAAAGAAAGGATGAATTGCTTTACTGATAATAAGGTAAGATGATGACACTTTCTGGCTTTTCAGTTCATCATCTCTCACAGGGTGGAGCCTTTGTCATTTACGACTCGAAGACAGGCAAAGTCAGCCCTGACCGGCAAAGTTAGTCCCCGGAAATGCTGTGAGCCCTCCACGACTGCAAAACACAGATCAGTCAAAATAAGGAAGCCGGACCCAAGCGTTCTGATTCTGCTCCATTTTCGCATCATTACGGATGCTCAGCTGGAATCTCCAAGATCAAATTAGCATTTTGCCAAAACGCAACGAACTGCCCATGCAGTCTAAGGACAAGGGGCAAGGCAGGTGCAGGGACAGTCGTCTGGCTATGATTCCCACTTCTGCAGAGCAATTCAGTGTTCTGGGATGAGACACAGACTCCCTCCTCTGCAGAAGGAATCTAATTTTGGCCCATTTCCCACATAATAGAGCTTCAGGGAACACCATGAGGAAATTCTAATTTCTTTCCTGTCCCGGTGAACTTGACATACAGTCACGGGTGAAAGTACATAGTTCAGGGACGCCTGGGTGGCTCAGTTGGTTGGACGACTGCCTTCAGCTCAGGTCATGATCCTGGAGTCCCGGGATCGAGTCTCACATCGGGCTCCCAGCTCCACGGGGAGTCTGCTTCTCCCTCTGACCTTCTCCTCGCTCATGCTCTCTCTCACTGTCTTGCTCTCAAATAAATAAATAAAATCTTAAAAAAAAAAAAAAAAAAAGAAAGTACATAGTTCATTGAACTCCTGGCCACCAGGGCTCACCCTTCCCTGTGGTAAGTAGTTCAGAGCCTCTACCTCAATTACTCTCTGCCTCGGCTGAGCACTGGAGTCACTTAGGATCTTAAAAAAAACCTGATGCTCGGATCCCATCCCACGAGATTTCGATTTGATGGTCGATTTTAATTTGATGGTTGAGGTGCAGCGTGAGAGGCAGGGTTTTTAAAGTTCCCCATGTGGATCTGATGTGCAGCGAGGACTGGCAACCACCACTCTAACTCTGCTTAGCAAGACAGTGACCTCTTGCAGCCCGTAGATGCCCCTAACATGGCTTCCACCAAGAATGCTTCCCATTGCTATCACCGAGGCTGCTGTAGGGATGACAGAGGTGATTCCACTTTGTTAAAAAGTGGGACCTTCAGCAGGAAACTGGCAAAGTCTGTGCTAGCAAAGAATGAAATTATCAAGTTTCTTACATGCAAGCCGCTGCCCAAGAGAGAGGGAGGGCTTTCAACTCTGCAACGTAGTTCACGGAATTTTTTTTTTTTTTTTAGTTTAAAAGAGAAAACCCAAATGGGCTCACAATGATTGGAAAATGAGAACAATTTCTATTTATTTACTTCACACATATTCTCAGTTCTCATCTGATGGAGTGATGGGCAGTAGGGTGTAGTAGACATAATTCTGAGTCCAGTGGACCAGCTTTGGAGACTCCCTCACGCTCATTGGTTGTTCAACCTCCAGTAAGTTCCTTGAAGTCTGTGGACATTGCGTGTTCTTCTTCTGTGAGATAGAGACACTGGGCTGGTGCTGGTGGGGCTGTGGGATCAAAGGAGATCATGGACATAACGTGCACGTGGCATATGGTTAAGCAGCAAATAAAGGAGAGATGTACTGCAGGCTTCTGGCTTGGAAAACACCCAACAGCTCTGCAGCAATCCTTTATCAGGCAGCTTAAGATAACAAACAGCAATTTAGGATCATGATAGGATAAAAGACCTTTTATTTATATAACTATGAACCTTGCTGTGTTATGATTTCTAAGACCCAAGATATTTATCGAGCAGGTGCCTTTCCTGTAGAGAGGTTAGTCTACAAGCTGAAATGACACTGTCCGGGATGTATGGACTCTCAAACAGAATTTTGAATATATAGTTACCTCCTAATTAAATCAAGGAGGACCATTACATTTCACCATTGCTATGAGTTAGGTGTTCTTATTTTGGGGGTCATATTCAAAATCATTTCCAAGACTTTCAGGACTGGTTCCCACTGCTTATTTTGGTAGAGCTTGTGAAACACATAATAACGTATGAGACAACCTCACTGGGTGATTTGGAAAATAATGGGACATTTCCTATCCTGGCTTTTCAATGAGTCTTCTTTTTTGTGGTGGACACATACTTCCTAGATTGAATCTGTAAGTATCTTGTTCTACCCCTTAAAGATTTTTTAAAAAAGATTTTATTTTTAAGTACTCTCTACACCCAATGTGGGGCTCGAACTCATAACCCCAAGATCAAGAGTCACATGCTCCATGGACTGAGCCAGCCAGGCGCCCCTTAAAGATTTATTTTTAAAAAGGTAAAAATTGGACGCCTGGGTGGCTCAGTCGGTTAGGCATCTGCCATTGGCTTGGGTGGTAATCCCAGAGTCCTGGAGTTTGCTCCTCCCTCTCCCTTTGCCCCTCCCCCAACTTGTACTCTTCTCTCTTGTACTCTACTCTCTCTCTCTCAAATAAATGAATAAAATCTTAAAAAAAAAAGGTAAAAACCTGGATGTTAGGTATTCTAGAAGCAGTTTTCCTTCACTGACTTATTGAGAAGGTTGACTCACATCCAACATAAAACTAACACATTGCCTACACTCAAGTAAACCTTCCTACTTCTTAACAATGATATCCTAGTTTTAACAAGGTTAACATAGGGTTGAAGGAGTCAGTTCCTAAATGTTGCAGGCCAGATGATTTACTGGCAATTCCCTCCCACACGTAATGGTGCCCTTATGTAATTTTAAAACCAGATTACTATTAATTCCCTTTGATAAACACACATACTCCACACACATCTTGAGAAATAATACTTTGTCCTTGTTTTCCATCAGCACTACCACTGTTATTAACGTTTTTTGTATTATCCAAAATAACATTGACTGAATGCCAGCCAAGATCAACAAATCTTGGAATTGGATTCAAGGAGTTAATTACCAATGTGGAAATCACTTTTCAGGGAGACTCCCATCAAACACAGAGATGCCTGTCATACACAGACTCTCACAGAACCAGAAAATGATTCGAGGCTATTTACGTTTCCAGTGTAATTTCGTGAATACTTGAAATTTTTAAAAAAAGTCGATATAGGGGTGCTGGTTGGCTCAGTTTGTTAAGTGTTGGACTCTTGGTTTTGGCTCAGGTCATGATTTCAGAGTCCTGAGATCCAGCTCTGAGTGGGGCTCTGGTGCTCCGCATGGAGGCTGCTTAAGATTCTCTCTGTCCCCCACCGACTTGTGTGCATGCTCTCTAAAATAATAAATAAAAATAAATATAACAAATTTCGATGTAAAATTGTGGCTTTTACTTTCAAGAGATAATGTAAGGGAAAACACCTGGTATATAATAGATGCTTATTAAATATTAGTTGATAGTAAAAAGTGTTTTTAGTTCCCAAAAGGAAACACATAGGCCATAATAACAGTTATTTATGATAACTTTCTAGCTTGGCATTTCCAACTGCATGAGAATGACTTTCACGGACTGGTGTGTGGTTAGGTTTAATTAGAAAATACATTATTATTCCTTCCTGTTAGCTACATCAGTAACTTTTCTAAAAGCAGTTCAATAGATTTTTCAACAGCGTATGATCAGTATTTCAAATTAAATCATAGAAACTCTGAAATAAGATCGTCACTTGCCTTTTGTGGTGTTTTCTCTAAAATTTTTATCTTTTACAAGTATTTCCAAATATTAAATAAACAGATCTGTAATAATATGTAATGAATTAGAGCAGTCAAGAAAAGAGTTTGGGGTAAAAGAGATTTTTTTAAATGATCAAATTTTAAAACACTCCAAATTTTTTATAATATCCAAATAATAATATCACACAAAAAGACACATATTGTATGACTGCACTTATATGAGGTACTTTCATAGAGACCAAAGATAGAATGGTGATGGTCAGGGGTGAAGAGAAGGTGGGAAAGGAGAGTTGCTGTTTCATGGGTGTAGAGTTTCAGTTTGGGACGATGAAAAGGTTCTGGAGACGGATGGTGGGAATGAATGCACTTAGTGGCAATGAACTGTATACCTAAAAAATGGCTAAAACAGTAAATGTGATCTTATATATATTGTCCCATGATAAAAAAATAGTACTAGATTTCATTAACATCGAGTATCTAATGTTTTGACCATATAAAACCTTACAGCAGGGAATTGTCAACTTGTAATAATTCAGTTTTATAACAGGTCACATGCGAACATACCCACAATCAAGGTGATGCCCATGCTGAGGGAGCTGACCCATGCAGTCAGGCCACGGCTCTGATGGAATTCTTCGAGCCATTCCACGTTGAGGACTCCCAGGGCCATCTGGGAGCCCATGATGAGGATGTGCACAAAGAAGGAGGAAAGAACCACCATCCAAGCCCATCCACTGTCAATGTTTGGGTGGGGCTTAAGTGTCTTCTTATCTTTGGGGTCATCTTCAAAATCATACCCAATATCTTCATGACTTGTGTACATTTTCCAAGATTTTCTGAAATACACATGACAAATAATTTCCTTGAACATCAAGCCAAAAGTAGTTTTTCTTCTTTGGACAGCTCTACCTCCCCACCGTAACCAAACTGGCCTTCAGATTCATCTTGTCATTATGCAGATTTGGGAATACTCCTGCCTTTTTACTGGCAAGTGCTTTTGTGAAGCCTGTTTCATCTCTACAGTCATCCTGTATGTAACCATTACTATGCATATTTTAAAGAAATGGAAATAGACTCAGAGAAGTGAAGTGCCTTTCCCAAGTTCCCATGACCAGGAAGTACGGCTACCAGGAACCCAAGGAATCGAACCCCGGTATTCCTGACTCCAAGCCCGTGCCTTGTTTCCAGCATTGGGATGCATACTGACAGGTGACAACAAAGATCTCACAGAAGGAAGACAGCTGGCTCTAAACAACCTTCCAGGGGAGCTTTGCCTTGGTAGAGCTTTTGGCAGGGTATCTGGTCCTCATTTTGTGGGTCCAAACGTTGGTTTTTTTCGGTACAAAAGAGTGGATTCACCTTGGAAGACCAACCTCTATGAACACAACTCAGGAGAGATGGTAAACTAGAAGGCCAATTATTATTATTATTATTACAATGGGAGCTAGAGCTTTCTAATAATGGTGATATTCAGGTCGAATACACAAGACACAGAAAAGAGGCTTGGAGGCTGGCTCGAGCTGGAGGGGAGGCAGTGATGCCAGATCAGGCAAGGACTCCGGTTTCATTTTTATTTCTTAGGATGAGAATTAAGTATATGTAAGAGAACTGAGGATAAGGAGTAAAAGAAGGGTAGACAGAGATAGAGATAGTAATCCTGGAGGTGGGGGAACAGCAGGATTCGTCTTGATCAGGAGGAGCAAAGCAGCCGGTGGATGGAGATGACGATGTCAAGTAGTGGGAGGAGAAGTTACACCCGATGGTCTAATTCTTGGGTCAAGTAGAAGTGAGGTCACTGGCTGAGAATGAAGAGGGTGGTGGTTGTGAAGGGCCCTCCACATTCAGGAAGAGACTGTTGGAAGAGACTGTTGCCCACGACAAGTGGAAACTATTGTTGGGTGGTTCTGAAGGTGGAGCTGAGCCCTGCAAGACAGCAGGACAGAGCCCTGGGCGAGCAGCACCAGGGACAGAGCGCTGGGAGCCCTCAGACCCGGAAGCGCGCAATTCGAGCATCATCATCAGAGAACGTTAAGACAAGAACAGCTAAAAGTTGGTCTGCTTTTTATTATGATCACTATGTGCCAGCAAATCTAGACGTCACTGATAAAATACTCCTCTTCTGAAAAAAATCTTTTGCTGGCCGAAGTTCCAAACTATGATGTTTTTAATTTTCTATCTGTAAGCTTCAAAGCAGCATGGTGCTATTACTTATCCTTTCGTAAGCACTATTTCGTAAGCACTATTTCGTAAGGAGCTATTTCAGAGAATTCCTGGTTCTACCGTTGACCCCCCACACCTGTGTGGCCCCAGCTACACACTTGAGAGTAAGTTCCCAGGAGCTGAGAATTACTAGAACTCTCTGTGGCCCAGTTTGGTCCGCAGCCCCCAAGGTGTCTCATGTTTCCACCTTCAGCAGCACGTTCGAGATGGATGAACGGCACAGTCCCTGTAGAGAGGAAGAACCAGAACTTGACTTCTTTACTTCTGTCACTCTGTACGCCTGCCTGGAGATTTTATTTTGTTTAACGTGTAAAATAGTGAAACAGGGTAAGATGGTGAGGTGAAAACCTTTTGTTTGTAAAGTGAAGTGTGCAATCAATACAGGAAATGTTTTACTCAATTTGAATAACATCTTCAAGACAGAAATCTGTTCTTTTTTCCAATTATTTTAAAACAAAAGAAAAAATAAGAAAATACTGATTATTACAAACCATTACATGGTTGTTATTGAAAATCATGTCATTGCAATGGAGGAAGGAGGTCTAAAAAATAATCCCAAATACATGCGGACCCCCTCCAAAGGTGAGGCTTTTCTCAGCAGTGTTCCAGTGTGGACAGGTTGGGAGGGCGGGGGTCAGAGAAGTGGACTCTGGTGGATTGCACAGTGCCCACAGCCTCTTTCTGCACACCCCCAAGTTAAGAATTGTTTTTACCTTTCTTAAAGGTTATGTGGTCCGTGAAACTTAAAATACTTATTCTCTGACCCTTCCTAGGAAAAGCTGGCTGATCCCTGGACTGTGGCATTGGTTCCAGCTAAGAATTTATTGGGAAGAAATGGGCATTGGGGAACCAAGGACGTCAGTGGAAGATTAGTTTAATGGATCTGTCCTGGGGCTCATCCTGACTTTCCCTTTCTCTCATACCTGGTCCTCGTTATTATTTTTATCTTTTAAGTGATTCTATGTCCTAAACACCCACCCAATTCTCAACCACTACACTTCCTGCCCAGATTGCTCCTCTCTGCCCGGGTCCTTTTCCACCTCCCTGCTCTGCAGACAGCTGGGAGGGATAAAATGTTATCTTGTCATGTGACTTCTCCACACTGTCAAGATATCCTTAGGATGAAGCCCAGACCCTCTTTGCCATTGCCAGGTTCTCCATAGATTATCTGCCCCCCGGTCCCTGTGCTCCAGCCCTGCTAAAGCACCTACATCTCCTTGACCTTGACACAGTGTCCTGAACTTTGGGGCATGACCTTCTCTTCTCTCTTTTGGGAACACGCTTCTCTCCTAACTTCCCGCTCCTCTTCTGCTCCTCCTTCAAGATTCAGGTAAATATAGTAATGAAACCTTGACACGGTGAGAACTCCCCTCCCCTGTAAACATTTTTAATCTCCAACATTAGAGTATATGTTAAATCAATCACTCATTGCACAAGGCTGTTTGAAGACACGGAAAGAAGATGTGTATTATACATGGGCGGGTTACAAAACTGGATGTGGGCAATAATCCCTTTGTTGTTTTTGTTAGAAATAGGTAACCATTCACTCCAAGACTGAAGTTAAACAAAAAAATTTTAAGGGAGATTATTCTTTGGATGATGGTCTTAAAGTAATTTTCCTCCTTTAATCTACCTTGTTGGTAAAAAAAAAAAAAATCATAATAGGGGCGCCTGGGTGGCTCAGTGGGTTAAAGCCTCTGCCTTCGGCTCAGGTCATGGTCCCAGTGTCCTGGGATCGAGCCCCACATCGGGCTCTCTGCTCAGCAGGGAACCTGCCTCCTCCTCTCTCTCTCTGCCTGCCTCTCTGCCTACTTGTGATCTCTATCTGTCAAATAAATAAATAAAATCTTAAAAAAAATCATAATAAATACATGTTAACTTTATGATAACAAAATAAAAGTCCCTCTCTCTATCTCTTAAATGCCATTTGGATCAGCTCTTTGCATCTGGTAGATGAGTGACCGGGTTGGTAAAAAAAGAATGAAGATGATTCAAGAGCCACTTTCCTGGGGAAGTCTAGCCTGCCACTAACCTGCTTTCCCCTAGCGAGAGGACAGCCTGCCTGGGGACAGGAAGTATTGGGGTAGCCCTTGCTTTCCAGATCCTGCAGCCCAGAAAAGAGCTGCATTGGCACAAGGCCCAGAGGATAAACCTACAGAAGGATCAGAAGGGCTGTTCAGTGGTTATCTTTCCTCTGTCTCTACTACTTGTATGTAAAATTCCAAGAAGCCAGAAAGTGAAGAATTGGGGGAGCGAATGACCTATATAAGTAATAATAACCTCATTTTATTTTATTTTTTATTTTATGTTATTTTATTTTTAAAAAGATTTTATTTATTTATTTGACAGAGAGAGATCACAAGCAGGCAGAGAGGCAGGCAGAGAGAGAGAGAGAGAGGGAAGCAGGCCCCCTGCTGAGCAGAGAGCCTGATGCGGGACTCAATCCCAGGACCCCGAGATCATGACCTGAGCCGAAGGCAGCGGCTTAACCCACTGAGCCACCCAGGCGCTCTTATTTTTTATTTTTTAAAATTAAAATTTTTAAAAAAGATTTTATTTATTTATTTATTTGCCAGAGAGAGAGAGAGAGAACAGGCAGACAGAGTGGCAGCAGAGGCAGAGGGAGAAGCAGGCTTCCCGCCGAGCAAGGAGCCTGATGTGGGACTCGATCCCAGGACTCTGGGATCATGACCTGAGCCGAAGGCAGCGGCTTAACCAACTGAGCCACCCAGGCGTCCCAAAATTAAATTTTTAAAATTAGTTTCAGAGATAGAATTTAATGATTCATCAGTTGCTTATAACACCCAGTGCAACTGGGTGATGGGCATTAAGGAGGGCACATGATGTAATAACATCATGCACATAAAATCTGTGGGATAATGCTCAGCTCTGTTTAGTCAGACAAAACAACACAACTTGGCATTTTCCTAAAGCCCACTTACATCTCTGAAAATGTGTCAAATAATAATATCACAAAGGTTATGGTTTTTCAACCCATGAGTTGAAATAGCAGGCATTTTCCTAAGCAATGTTAAGAACTTGATATTCTCACTGAATTATTTATTCTATGGGTTGAGAGATGCAGTTGTCATTGAACTGCTCTCGGCATTTCCATTATTTGTTCATAAATAAATGACATCGAATAGGATTTAATTGGCAAGTTTTATCCAAGAGGTGCGAGGGTGTATGTAGCAACCAGTAGCCAGTGCGGAGACTGGGTGAGTGCAGGAGGAGCTAAAATGAAGTTCTGTCCCATCCTAAAGATACACCTGGCAGCAGAGCCATCAGCATTTCCTATCTAAATCTCTCTGTAAGCAATACCCGTTTGGACTAATCACAGTTAACTTACTGTCCAACCAGGTTCACTAAAACAAACAAAAAAACACAACAGAAAAATAAATTTCTACCCCCTCCACTCCCAAGTTTGCTTTTTAACATTTACATAATTATAAGATACAAAATAACTCTTTGAGTATTGTATCCTAGTCTACACTCTGTGAGAGAGAGAGGGAGAGAGGGAGAGAGTACATACAAGTGAACCAGAGATGGTTCTGGACCACCCTGTCCCCAGGCTCCCTGTCTTTCTCCATCACATGGCCTTCAAGCTCTCCCACCTTCTCCACATCCTGACATACATGTAAAACATCGACAGGCATGGGGTACACTGGGGTAAATGAGGCATGGAGTGTGGGGCTTCCTCTACGATCATCAGGTAAGATGGAACCCATTCTAGGCTGGCCTGTTGGAAGCTCAGCATATAACATTAGGGCCTTGCACTGAAGGAAGTGAAGGAAGGCAATAGGTAGATTATGGGACCAACAGTCAACCTTCCTTTGCCCCAAATGCGGGTTCATAAATGGTGGAAGAACCATCGTAATGGAAGGGAAATGATGTAACCCATGAAAGCTATGAGATGGAGGCCAGCTGCATATTTATGTGCCACTAGGTTGAGGTGAAAACAATTTAGATCCAGCTGGAGTGTATCAGAGATTAAAACCAAATTAAATTCCCACAGCTCTCTTACCGGAGTAAGTTTTATAAGCAACTCATTCATTTTAATTTGGCTACTATGATTATGTTAGCATGCAGCGAGTGCTTTATAAATGGCGAGCAAAGGGGAGAGTGCCCAGTGAAAACAAATTACAGGTGGACAGGGTAGGATGGTAACTGGTTCTCATCAGATGCAGGGGAGTGGCCCGGCCGCCTGCAATTGGGCTGTGGGTTCTTTTG